GAACTGAACTTCAGGCAGCTCTCCACAGACAGCAATGAATTCACCTTCTCCCTCAAAAATTAAATCCAAATCAGAATCAGAATTCAGGCTCTCTGGAGCCACTGCTGAGATAACTCAGCTGTTATCAGTGATCTGCCTTGGAAACACACAGTTTAACAGATGCCTCAAGATATTCCAGGCACACTGCACTGGAGCTGAGGATCTATCTTGCCTCAAGATGTTTGCTTTGCTGAATTATTTCTTTTGTAGCAATCATTAGCTGAAGTCAGAGCACGCTGCAGCTGCTGGCTCATCACCCTCAAGACACTGTATAAACATTAGTCTGGGATTTTGATTTATTCTAACTTCATTTGTTGTGGCTGTTTTGATGGCCCAAGTCTGAAATACAGGAGGGAGATGGATGGTCTTACAGTGCCTGCACATTCAGATGTCACTCAAATCCTTGGTGTCTACAAGTTCCTGCACAAGATAAAGTGGAAAACAACACAAAAATTCTGATTTTCTGCATTACTGATTTAACTCATTACTGGGAAGCCTCTTTATGACTGGAACATACAAGCCTGCACAGATATCACTGTGAAATGGTCCTGGGCCTCCAACTGAAAAAAACCCTTAATTTGCAAAAGAATATTAAATAGTTAGGTTTAAAAGAAGACATTAGTTGTATTCTCATTTTCCCTCCTTCCTCAGATTATTTTCCACAACTCTGTACATTTTCCTCATGTATCATTTCTTTAAGAACAATCAGTTTAACAGCACAAACATGGCTCATGCTAGACAGGAATGTATACATGTTGTATAACTTGGCTATCACAAATATGTCCAGGTAGGATGCAATTTAGTTAAATTTCTCCCAGATAGATGACAGGAAAACTTAAAAGTATTTAAAGTGTAAAGAGAGCTTGGTAACACCTGCCTTGTCCATGCCAGCTTGGCTCTAGCAGACCTTAAAGAATTAGGTTTTTTACCACAAGAATATTTTCTAACAGTCTTTCTCATATTATTAACAAGATCTCAAACTAATTAATATTTCCAAATGGCACATTTGGAGCTCTAACTCTACATCTTTCTTATCTCTAAACCTCTACAACTTCTCTCTCCCAAAAACCCTAAAATCTGGAGGCTTCCTGTGGTCCCAGACTGGGCTCCGGAGGGATCAGACTGATTTTAATGAGAGCTGGACTGCAATGTGCAATCTGTCAAGTCACTTCTAGCCCGTCCAAGGAATCAGCAGAAGGTCTTGTGGTTCTCCTGCAACCTTCAGCACTTCAGGCTGCAGGCCAAGCCCAGATAATCAGCACAGATGGTTCCAGGGAGCTGCAGCCCAGTGGAACTGTGCTAATGAAGCCATGTACTTTCCACAAGAGCAAACACAACAGGGCACCGTTAGTACCTGGCAGGGAAAGGGAAATGCCAGACTACACCAAGCACAAGTGAGGCTCCCATCTGTGTTTTCCAGAACACCACAGCTCCCATAAATGAAAAATTTTGGAATATATGCACAAGATATTCTGATCCAACACTGATTTGTGCTCTGATAGAACAAGGCACAGTCATATTTCCCAGATCCCTGACAGGGAGTGATCTGCAGTGCAGAACCCAGAAATCTGGAGGGGAGGAGGTGAAAATCTGCCTTACAATAGCATTTCTCTAAGACATTAGGTACTAAGAAACTTTCTGGCTGCAGTCCACCCAAGAGTCAAGCTGCAGGCTCTGGTTGCTTGTAGCAACAGAAGATGCACTGAAAAGGAGTCACTTGGGTAGTGCAGGATATTTCTGGTCACAAGTGCTCTTTTAGGGCAAAAAAAGTGGCACCAAGGCTTTCTGATGCCACCCTCGTGGTCACCACACACCCCCCTGGCTGTGAGGCTCTTGTGCAGCTCTGTGCTGATTCACAGCTCAGTGCTCACAGAAATGGAACATGTGGCAGCACAGACCCAGTGTCCTCAACTCAGAGTGGAAATTCAGGAGGATGGCAAAAGCAAATTACTCTTGAGAGTAATTGGGATGGGAACGAAAAGGCAAACAAGCAGAAGGCTTTACATTTGTACTCTGCTATCAGCCAATATTTCACTGCCAAGCTGACGAGGTACCAAGGTGTTTACTCCTGTTACTACAGCAGACAAAAAACTCTTCAGCGTGAAGATGAGTGACACCTCCTGACAAGCCTGCCACGAGCCCTACCTTGGAATGCTCTGACAGGAATTCTGGCAGGAGGTAGACCTGGGCCAGCAGCTCCGTGTAGTCACGACAACGGAAGTAATAGATGTGAGAGAGGATATTTTCCAGAGAGAAAGTCTCCAAAGCTTTCTGATGATCTGAGAACAAAACAAACAGACGAGTAAATGAGTCAGAAGTCTGTACGAGCATATTGTTACTTTCATCATCCCACCAAAGCCTGCCCTCCACACATAGCAACAGCAGAGCCCCCAGAAACAGAACAGGCAAGGTAAGGAGTGTGGAAACATATTTTCCATCTGGCTTGAAAGTCAGGAAGGTGGTGAGCAGATGCTATCCCAGCATTTGCACACAGACACACTGGAGCCTCCAAGGGAGGCCTCCAACAATGAAAAATTTATTTCTGAAGCAAGAACTTCTCCAGTAAATCATTTTCAAGCCAGAACGCCACCAGAGGACATCAGGGACTATTAATCATCCCTTGTTTAATATACAGGCAGCAACTCATTTAATACGGTGTCGTTTTAGTTCAGTTCAAACAGAAGTTTGGTGCACAAATTCTCCATGAGTAACACAAAAGTTGTGTCCTTATCCCCAAGAGACTGATTACTTAGAGAATAAAACTTATTAAAAGCAGCCTGGCTATACTGACTTTATGGAGGATCTGAATTCCAGCTATGGGCCTTCAGCAGCAACATTGCCTCATAAAATTCTGCTGTTCCTCTTTTCTTTCCCTGCCTGTTCCTATGTTTTGAAACAAAGCACTCAGCTTTGCTCAACAGGTGCAAATATGATCAATAAGGTGCTGCAAATATGATCATTAAGGTGCTAAAAAATTGGAAGGAAAAGAGGAAAGGAGGAAGGCCAAACATCAAAACCCCACAAGCCATCTAAAACCCCCAAGATCAAAGCATTCACAAAATCACCATGTAGAAAAATAATTCTTTTTGAAGTAGCCCAGCCCAGTCTGCTCCAGACACAGATGTAGTTCAGGGCTTGATCCACAGAGGTGGAAATAAAAAGCTGTCAGCAAACACTCCAAAAGTAACACTGCAGCCTACGAGCCACTTGTTTCACTCCATCCTTGCCTCCTCCAGAAAAGAAATGACTTGGCAACGCACCCTCTTCTGGCTGAGCCTCAGCAATCAGGTGGCAGTGCTGCACACAGGCAGCTGCAATGTCCACCACTCTGTCCACCATGAAACTTCCCTCGGTGTCAATGAACACAGCTTCTCCTGCAACGCCTCCAAAGCACTCTGGGATCTGGACATCCACTGCCAGCTGCATGCTGCCGTGGGAAACAGAAACAGAAATCAATATTTGCACCCCAGAGCTGTCCCTGCTCACTCCTGGAGCGATATTCCTGCTGAGGAACACATGGGACAGGGAGCAGTACAGCCATCACTGTATTGATAATGCTGGGAGAGAGTCAGAGATTGCAGACAGACAAGAAAAATAGACTCATTTCATAGCTGAGTTAAACAAGAAGTGATTCCTGGTTGCACAGAAGCCACGGGACAATGAAATACCAGAGCTGGGTTTTGCCAACGCCGGGTGCTCCGCAGATCTCGGTGATTTTTGTTAGCTGCACTCCACCTCCCAGGATGTTGTCCAGTGCTGAACAGAAGGTGATGATGAAGCCCTGGGTCTGCTCTTCTTCCAGCAGCTCCAGGGCTGTGCACTTCCTGGTGGCACCTGCTCCCCCAGCTGTCCTTGCTGCGTCCCCGTGGCATTCCTGCCTCACCAGCTGCAGCGCTTCCAGCGCCTCTTCCCGGGAGATTCCAATTTCTGGAGGAGCAAAAGCACAAAACAGCACCTTGATTTTATAAGCACTGACTGATTCTGCAGCGTGACACAAAATGATCAATATTCACCCTCCCAGCACAACATGCATACAGCCCTGGCACTAATGATGAGATTTTTAAACTGTTATTGTCATAGATAATAAAACTATAGATAATTAAAATTCCAGACTGGTTAGGGTTGGAAGGGGCTGTAAAGACAACCCAGTTCCACCCCTGCCATGGACAGGGACACACATTCCACCATCCCAGGTTGCCCAAAGCCCCATCCAGCCTGGCCTTGGGCACTGCCAGGGATCCAGGGGCAGCCACAGCTGCTTTGGGCACCCTGTGCCAGGGCCTGCCCGCCCTCACAGGGAGGAATCACCACACACTCCTTGAAAAAGGCAATTTTCTAACTTCAAATAGGCTCATTTTGCTTAAATCATATAGCAAACAGAATAGGGAAGCTGGGGAAAGAGGAGGGATGAGCCTAACAGAATCCCTTCATTTTCCTGCATCCCATTTACATCCATCAGCACCAGCTGATCTTTTACCAGAATCGTTTACTTTTATTTTTTATTAAATTATCCACTGTGCCCATTTCCCGTAGGCCTCACTGGGGGCAGCACGGGGGAAGGAGGAAGGGCCCGGAAGACGCCGGGGAGGCGCCGCGGGGCCGAGAGCCGCCGGTACCTTTGCTCAGGCCGCAGGGCCCGGTCTCCAGCAGCTCCTGCGCCGTCTGGAAGCCGGCGGCGGCGAGGCGCGCGCGCAGGGCGGGGGCGAGCGGCAGCGCGCCCACCTCCCGCTGCATGGGGGCACCGGGACGCGCCGGCACCGGGACGCACCGGGACGCACCGGACACGCTCCGGACACGCACCGGACACGTCTCAGTCACGCTCCGGACACGCTCCGGCCGCGTCCAGCGAGCGGCGATCGTCCAAGCCCCGCCCACCGCCCCGCCCCTCACGGTGTGGCCCCGCCCCACCCTGGCGCGAAGCGGGAGCCGGCGGCGGCGCGCAGGCGCGCTGGCGTTGCCGCGTGCCGGGGCCGTTCGGGCGGCGGGTGAGCGGGGCCCGCGGGCTCCGGGAGGGGCTGGAACGGGCATTGCCCACCGGGAGTGCCTGGAACGGGCATAGCCCACCGGGAGTGCCTGGAACGGGCATTGCCCTCCCGGGAGTGCCTGGAACGGGCATTCCCCACCCGGGAGTGCCGCTGGGTGCGCCCCGCCCGGGCGCGCCGGAGACACCGCCGCTCCCGGCAGGTTCTGGGGTCTCCCGGTTGGCGCCTCGCCCGTGCCCGCTGCGTTCCCGCGGCGTTAGGGAGGGCAGGAGGCTGATTTCCCCTTCCATCTCGGGATATTCCTGCAGGAAGCACACCTAACTTTAGGCTACTGCAGGTTCTGAAGTCAGAAATAAGTTCTTTACGTCGAGGTGCTCTGCAGCTTGATGTTTCCTACCTTTTCCCAGTTGTGCTCAGGAAAGAAGATGGCTCATCCCATCCCTCTCCCCTTTCCATGCCCAGTCAAGCTTGGAAGTGTCAAAGGAGACTCCCTGGAAGCTGACCTGCATGAGTATGTCAGGGAGGGGAACTATGTGAAAGTGAAGAAGCTTCTGAAAAAAGGTAAAAGCTAAGTTTAGACAAGTACTGGCAGAAAATATTTACTTTTTCCTGTATTCATTTATTTATGGTAAAAAGTAGTGAGCATACTCCTTGTAGAATCCAGTTTTCTGAGTGAAATATATTAACAAAATGATTTATAGCTGCCCTTTTCTGTTAAGTGGGAATAGCTCTCGAATCAAAAAAAAATGTATTAAAATAAGTTAGATGGAAAGAAAAATAATATTTTATTCTGAAAGTCACCTGTAGGACTGTTTTCTTTAAATGGGGTTTTAGTAGGGTTTTAGTTGGGATTGCCAAATGCCTAAGGTACGGTTTAGACCTTAAGCATTTTGACAAGCCGATTTGTAGCCGCATAGGAATTTTGTACACGAAACCAAATCGTCGGTGCAGTTTTGTTTCGGCTTTAGCATCGCGGATCTCAGCGCGTTCTGCGGATGCCGAACTGCGCCTTCCCAGGGCGGGGCTGGGCGGGGCCGGCGCTCAGCGGCGGGCGCGCCTGTGATTGGCTGTCGCGGCTGGAATATGCAAATCAGGGCGCGCGCGGCCCCATGGGCGGCAGGCGCGGGCGTTGCGCGGGGCGCGGGCGCTGCCGCGCCCCGTCCCTCAGGGCTCGGGAGGGAGAGAACACGGGCTGAGTGGTTTGTGGCCCTTTTTTATCGTGGTAAAAAATAGAAATTATGATTAAAGGAGCACAGAGTTGGCTGTCTATTGCAACCTGGATCCCGACCCCAAGTGCCACAATCACCTGTCGTATAAATACCTCCAGGACTGGCGACTCAGCCCCTGCCCTGACCAGCTGTGCCAGTGCGGGAGAACCGTCGCAGTGAATAAATCTCCCCCAATGTCAAACCGCAACCTCCCCTGGTGCCACCTGAGGCCGTTTCCTCTCATCCTTTCACTAGTTTCGTGGAGAAGAAACAGACCCCAGGTGCCAACATGCTCCTTGCGGGCAGTGGCAGGGCGGGTGACAGTCCCCCCTGCGGCTCCTTTGCCCAGGCTGAGCCCCCTCCCCGTCCCCTCAGGGCTCGGGAGGCAGAGAACACGGGCTGAGTGGTTTGTGGCCCTTCTTTTTTTGTTGTGGTTAAAGAAAGAATTATAGCGAGCGACAAAGGATGAACCTTTCCCAGGGGAATTCCCTTCCCGCAGCCCGGCTGTCTCTCCGGTGTCCCGCTGTGGGTGATCCCCAGGGAGGGCGCAGCAGCCGCACTGATTTCGGCTGCCTGAGGCTATTCAGACCAATGGTATTCTCGACCCATCTCCTGGTGCAGGGCAAGGCGACTTTCTCGTTTAAAAGTGCTGCCTCTGATGAGCGCTGATGATCAGAGAGTGACACGGGACCAAGGGGAACCTGTTCCCGATTTCCCTTTCATCTCTTGTGGGAACTCCGTGTCGCTCAGGCTACAAATTCTGATCGGTTTAGGAAGCAACTGCTCCGTGTTGTGCTCGTATTCCGCCGGTCCGTGGTGCTCAGGCTGAGTGCAGAGACGCAAAGGCCGGAGTTGATTGCACAGTGCCCTGTGGGGTTGTTCTTTCTGCTACATAAGCGCCACCGTGACAGCGCCGGGCGAGGCTCGGAGCCAGCGCACCCCCCCGGCGGCAGCCGTGCCGCGCTGCTGCTGTTGGTACCGGGGCCGTGCTCCTCTGCTGAGCCGGGGCAGCGGCAGCACGGGCAGTGGCGGTGCCTTGTGCCGTGTCGCGACAGCTGCGACAGCCCGAGCTCGGGCGGCGGCGGCACTGCAGGGAGGCGGGGCCGGGCTGCCGCCGGGCTCCGGGCGCGCCTGTGATTGGCTGTCGGAGCTAGAATATGCAGATGAGGCGCGCGCGGCCCCATGGGCGGCAGGCGCGGGCGTTGCGCGGGGCGCGGGCGTTGCGCGGGGCGCGGCGGCACTGCAGGGAGGCGGGGCCGGGCTGCCGCCGGGCTCCGGGCGCGCCTGTGATTGGCTGTCGGAGCTAGAATATGCAGATGAGGCGCGCGCGGCCCCATGGGCGGCAGGCGCGGGCGTTGCGCGGGGCGCGGGCGCTGCCGCGGCGCTC